TATATATATGTATATATATATGTATATATGTATATATATATGTATATATGTATATATATATGTATATATGTATATATATATATGTATATATATATATGTATATATATATATGTATATATATATATGTATATGTATATATATATATGTATATGTATATGTATATATGTATATGTATATGTATATATATATATGTATATGTATATATATGTATATTTGCTGTTTTGTGCTTGCTTCTGATTCTTTCTGCTAACTACAACATTTTTGTGCTTCTTCTAACTTCTTTCTGATCATTTCAGCTTGTTATGCTTCTTTCAGCTTATTTCTGCAAGTTTCAGCCTTTTCTATTATTTCAGCTACTTTTTAGCGGATTTATGCTAATTTTACCTTTTACAGCTAATTCCATATTTTTAGCACTCATTTCAGCTGTTTTCAGCCTAAGTCAGCAAAAATGTGCTCTTTCCACTTCTGGTAATTTATGCCTTTTTAGCTACTTTTTAGCTGTTTTTTCCCCCCAGCTTTTTTCAGATAATTTTCACTTTTTTAATGCTCATTATTGTTTATTTAAGCCAAATTGGGCAAACATGTTCTTTCTGCCTTCTGCTAATTTAAGCTTGTTCTACCTTTTACAGCTATTTTTTTTTTTTAGCTTTTTTTAGCTAATTTTGGCTGTTTTCAGATAAATTCAAGTTTTTAATCATTTTTGCTACTTCTACTTTTTATGCTAATTTCAGCTTGTTATACTCCTTCCAGCTTAATTATGCTAATTTCAGACATTTCTGGTATTTCAACTACTATTTAGCTGTTTTATGCTAACTTTAGCTTTGTCAGCCAATTCCACATTTTTTTGCTCATTTCAGCTCTTTCCGCTTCCTTCTGGTAGTTTAAGCTTCTTTCTGCCTTTCAGCTACTTTTCAGCTATTCCTTTTGCTAATTTTTTTCCTACTTTCCTAATTTTTGTATTAATCTCTTCTTATTTAAACTGATTCAGCAAATACATGTGTTCTTTCTGCTTTCTTCTGCTAATTTAGGCTTGCTTTTCCATTTCAGTTTCATTTCAAAATTTTTAAAATTTTTATTTCAGCTTGTTTTTAGTAGTTTCTTCAGCAATTAGCATTCACACTGCATTTTGATGCAATTTCACTAGTTATAATTATTTGGCACGTTCAGCAATAAGGAAAGCTTATATCATTGTGGATCATTAAAAATAATAAAAGTACTACTGGAAAGAACAACAAAGTCCATGCTCAATAATCCAGGTATAAAATCCAACATTTTTCAGTCAGGTCATCTGGACAGTTTCTGGAAAGCATCTCATTAACCTAAATTTAAAGACTGTCCTGTGTTGTTAAACTGTCATTGTCCTTTTCTCTTCAAAAACCGTGGGGTGAGCAGAATAGATACGTCTCCTTCCTCTCCTCCCGGCTTCTTACTGTCATCTCCAGTTCAGAGATAAATTACAGTGCCACCTCTTTGCTATTTCCACCCCTCCCTCTCCTGCTTCACATTTCTCGAGGATCCCCCCCACCTCATTCCTTCAAACTCCTGCATACAAGCTGGGTCATAAATCCTGAAAACGTTCTGGTGTTAAAAGCCTGTAAAAACTGAGCACATTGTCTCTGCAGAGAGGACTTCTAGCTAAGGGACATTAGTGAGAAATCTAATGAATCCCATTCCTCATAAAGTGCTTCTTTTCCATCTCCTTGGCCTCATTAAAGAGTTGTTACTCGTTCAAGGTGCCCCATATTACTCCACGGAGTTCGTGTCAGCATCTCGTTTCAATCTTAACTATCCATGAGTGTCGGAGCACACAATGTAACTTCTGTTGTTAGTTAACGTTTGGACTATAAATGTATCGTGCCAACAGACTGCAGAGTTACTGCGCTGCCTTTACAGTCCTCGTGTGATATATGTTGCCTTCTTTATCCTTAAACTGAACTGAGACGCAGCCAGTCTGTAAACCAGGGTGACATACTTGTGCCCAACAACTCTATTTTTTATTTCACTGTGAGGAAAATGTAAACAGAACAGAGTCAACTAAATAGAAATGTACTTTCAGGAGTGCCTCGAGTGTTTCGACTGGTCTGTGCAGCTCCAGTAGTTCCAGGCTGGCCATAAAGTGATGCTTCATGTTGCCTTTAACTTCAATGCTTTTTTAAATGTCTTATTTTTATTTTATTTATTTATTCCTATGCATGTGTGTGTGTTTCAGTTGCCTTTCTGGGAGACATTGCTTTGGATGAAGAGGACCTGAAATCCTTTAAAGTGGACAGAATAATAGATTTGGCTCAGAGAACCGTCCAGACCTTCAACCACACAGATCCAGGTAACACCAGCTAGCGCAGCTCCATCTGAACAGTTTGATGAAACTACACCTCATTAGAAAGCCGAGGTTTGGATTGTCGCTCGCAGTCAAGTTGAAACAAGAACCTGGATTAATCGTAGCTCCTATATGGTTTTAAACTGAGAACCTCTTCTGCATGAGGGCATTACTCTCTCAGTCTCTCACATCCTCTCTACTTAGCAGCCTCTTTCAATAAGAGCCTCTGTCATCGGTACACTTCACAGCACCTGTAAATCAGTGTTTGAGAGTAATTGCTGGGCTTTGTGCTCCGAACATTATTTCCAAATTGAAAGGCGCTTTTTAAACTACAGCTGTGAGTCAGTCCACAAACTAACACTTTGTAACTGGTGGAAGTTTATACATCTATCAGTGTATTTAAACCAACACGGTGCGTTCAAAGGTCAGTGGAATCTGAAATCAAAGGCCTTCATTCCTTGAAGGATGACGTATTTCCTGCCATCTTTTGTGGCAGAGTTTTCAGCTTGGATAATAAATTGTTTTGGTCAAACTTTGGAACTAATCTTATGTACAGTCACGTGATCTGACGAGATTTTGTGCAATCTGTAAGCGCTTGGTGTATTTGTTGGGAAGGCTCTTAGCTACTACCGCACGAAAATATGTCTCAGTACCTCTAAAACAGACTAATAATCTTTTTTTTTTTTTTTTCTAAGGCTGTCCTGAATCAAGTTCACTCCAAAAAATGAACAAGCTGCAGATGCAATGACTAATGTCTGAGAGTTTCATGAAAATCTGTTGTAGCACTCAAAGTATGAGTTATGGATTACTCTCGGCTACTACAACATCAAACTTTAGCTCATTATTTGTGAAACTGAACAGGTTTTTTTAAACACCAAAGTTCATGCTCAGTAATACAGGTAAAAATCCAGCCATGTTCAGTCAGATCATCTGGACGGTTTCTTTTTTTGTTGAGATGTTTCGTCCTTCATCCAAAGGATTTCTTCAATCTGAGGAGCCACCAAATAAAACTCATTCCCACAAACAGTATACTCCTTTGTTTGTGGCTCCTCAGATTGAAGAAATCCTTTGGATGAAGGACGAAACGTCTCAGCAAAAAAAAAAAAAAAAAAAGAAACTGTCCCGATGACCTGACTGAACTTTGTTGGATTTCTTTCTGGATTATTGAGCATGAACTTCAGTGTTTTGAACCACTTTAGCATGACTGTCTCAAAGGAGTAGACGGGGGAGAGGGCGGGCCCCGGAGGCCATTTTAGCACCAGCAAATTGGCTCTTTCCAATATGGAGTATGTGGTTTGTGGGAATCAGTTTTGTTTGGTGGCTCCTCAGATTGAAGAAGTCCTTTGGATGAAGGACGAAACATCTCATGAAAAAAAAAAAAAAGAAACCGTCCAGATGACCTGACTGAACATTGTTGCATTTTTTTTTTAAAGTTGATCAGCTGTGGTGGCCATCTTAAATTGGGTTAACTCCAAAAGTTAATCAGTTGTAGTTCTGCATTAAGTCATTGCTTTTATAAGAGTTTCATTAAAATTTGACCTCTGGTTCATGAGATGTTTTGCTAACAGACAGACGAATAAAGTTATAGACACACACAGACAATTACACTATCGCCTCCTTTCAGTGGCAGGCAGTAAATATTTTAATTTAAAATAAAACATAGTTTTAGTCATTGAAATCATGGACATCCAAAATCTTTGCTACACAAATGACTCTCTTTTCAGGACTGTAAACATAGATCAAAACAGAAAAGACGCGCAGTTTAGTTGATACAACATATTTATGTTCCGGCCTTTAAAAAAGCTTTCCTATCTTCATGTAAATAAATGAGGCAGATTTAATCACTTTTTGATATTTAGCAGATTTTCCACACGTTTAGTCTCTGCAGGACTTCTTATCAGTTTGAGCATTTTTGGCTGTTATCAGCATTTTCCCCACAAGTGTACGTGATAATTGTTCTCGCAGGACTGCTAACACTGGCTCGTGCAGATGGATCTTCAACAGAACGCACCGTTCCCTGTAAACCGTTAAACAAAAACACGAGAGCCCACAGTCACAACTTCAGGTATTGTTGTGGAACGATGAGCCAGAGCTTTCAGACTCGGCCCTTCAGCAGGGTCGTCTGTGGTGCTGATGTTGTGAAACCCTCAGACATGTTCTCCCCACCCTGGTCCTCGAGGAACACTATCCTGCACGTTTTAGTTGCTGCCCTGCTCCAGCACACCTGAGTCAGTGGTTCAGGAAGTAATTCAATCACTGACTCAGGTGTGTCAAAGCAGGGAAACAACTAAAACGTGCAGGATAGTGTTCCTCGAGGACCAGGGTCAGGATCCACTGCTCTAAAGATCAGCGTGTTTAAAAATATATATATTTTTTTGAAGTTATTGATTTAATAAAAGCATGTGGCATTCTGCATGTTTTAACTTAAAGCGTCTTGTGGTAACCCATCCATCCATCCATTATCTTTACCCGCTCCTTCCTTTTCGGGTCACGGGGGACACCCTGGACAAGTCTCCAGTCCATCACAGGGACACATAGAGACAAACAACCATTCACTCTCTCACTCACACCTAGGGACATTTTAGAGTTACCAATCAGCCTAACATGCATGTTTTTGGTCTGTGGGAGGAAGAGTACCCAGAGAAAACCCACACATGCACGTAAAGAACATGCAAACTTTACCCAGAAATGGCCTCAACTGGGATTTAAACCAGCGACCTGCTCACTGAGAGGCAGCAGCTCTACCGACTGCGCCACCGTGCTGCCCGTTGTGTTAACCCAACAGTAGAAAATAATAATAAATTGTATAAATTTTGGGTCATGTCGGGTAAAAGCTAAAACTGACTGTTCCACTTTTTGTTTAAGTGGAAGAATTCAAAGAATAAAATGCAGCCGCACGTCTTAAGATGATTCTTTGAACCACTTCCGAGTCGTGCATTTACTTCAAACTGCTTCTCAGCTATTTTTCAGTCTTGTTCATCGGAAAAAAATTTATCTTCACTCCTACTCAGATGACTGACCCTCCTTGCAATGAAATAACTCACTTCTGCTTTTTCAGCTATTACTGTAATTTCAATCAGTTATTAAAGTGTAGCATGCCTCATCCAGAGTCAAAACTTTCACAAAATAAAAGGCCTAGCATTCCTTGAAGGAATGCATATTACCCGCCGCCTTTCATGCCATAGTTGTAGCCTGAGATCATCTTATGTTGAGGAGAGAGTTATCGTCTTACATGACGTGCTGCACAATCTCATGCTGTACTTACAGACCTTGCTTGATCTGTTATTACTCATATGTGTTGAGGATGACTCTCAGCTACTACCACACCAAACATGACATTAATACCTGCAAAACGCAATAAGTTATAGCTGTTTTTATCTTTCTAAGGTCAGAGAGCTGTGGCGTCCATCTTATATTGGGTTGACTCCAAAAGTCAAATCAGTTGTAGACACAAGTCCAGTAGCTATCTTCTAAAGGTTTCAGTAAAATGTGTTCATTTTATGCTAAACACTCACAAACAGGTAAAATCATTATCACCTGTCGCTGAAAGGTAAAAGGCAGGTGATATTTATATAATTGGTAACATTTTACACGCACATGCTGATTGTTCATCTGGTGACTAATTGGTCCACTCTGGAAATAAAATGGTGAAATCACAAATTCTGAAGTTTACATCTTATCTAGTGGTTAAATTTGTACCTTTTTATATTAAAAAAATAAATAAAACGGGCATAATTTTAATTGAATTTTAGTTTTAAAGTGAAATTTTGTGACTTTTTCAAGCTAAGCTTTATGTGCTGTAGAAACGTCTCTGTTCACATGATGATGATGAGGATGATGATGGCTCACAGTAGTTTTTATATTTTTTTTGTCAGAATCAATATTCCTCTAAAACTACCACACTATTAGCATCTTTGCTTATCAAATCATATTTCTTCTACAGAACATACAATGTTAAGTTTCTTTATTTAATTTTTTTTTATACATTTACTGAATCGTCTAAAGAAAAATGTTCAATGGTTTGTGGTTTTTTTTTTTTATGACTGAATCCTTTCATGTGCATTTCTATTATCAACTCTTGTTCTGCAGATTGGCCGTGCATCACGTGCTTCACATATATGATTTCTATTTTAATCTTCAGGTTTAGGTGGGGGCTTAGTCACCATGGTAACAGGTCGTGCACGGTTGAGTGACATTTACACTGTGAATTTAATTTTGAAGATCAAAGCATTGTTCTCATATTAAAAATTCTTTATAAAGGGAAGAAACTTAGAAAACAGGAGAAGAAAGTAGTTTGACGAGTTTTAATTGAGGAATATTTAATTTGATGAAGCTTTAAAGATTTCCTGCTGGTTGTAGGATAAATGTTCATTTATCTTCTGAGTCGGTGCTGTCTCTGTGCACAGATGTAGGAGGAACGATCCCAGTCTTCATCAAGAACTGAACTGGTCTTTATTTTGTTGATTCGTTTTCAATCCTCAGGATCTGCCGATGGCAGCCGTGGAAACGGATCAGGTTCACAGCGCAGAAAAAGAGCCGCCACCTCCAGACCTGAGCGCGTTTGGCCTGAAGGTGTTATCCCCTATGTCATCAGTGGTAACTTCAGTGGTAGGTAACAGTTTACTCTTCACTTCCTGCACCTGACTGAAGGTAGCATCACGCAATGGTCACAAAGCATTACGAGCAATAAACTCCTCTTGAACTTGTTTGTGGATGTGGTTGCATTTGAGTCTGTGTTGTCTTGATGATGTCATGTGTCTGTAAATAAACATATTTCTAATTAAAATGGGGTGCTGTGGAAGAAAATTACTCGTATTTGTCATCTGAGCTCGACCTTGGTCTTCATAAGATGCTGCTCTAATATGTGTATGATTCTGCTTTAATACTTTGTTTGCTTTGAGCTGTAATTATTTCTTTCAAAATATGTCATGAAGTTGTACTTTCTTTAACATAATAAAAAGTTTATGCTTGTTCAATTCAATTGAGTTTATTTATATATAGTGCCACGTCATAACCGAAGTCGTCTCAGGGCACTGAACAGAAACATTCATATATATAAAAATAATAATTTAACATTAATTATCTGAGGAGCAGACTGCTTTGAGTTTAACTCCATCACAGAACTCTCATCTTGAGCGAGCATGAAGGCGACAGTGGAAAGGAAAAACTCCCTCATGAGGAAGAAACCTTTAGCCCAGGGGTGTCAAACCCACTTACAAAAGGGGGTCAAAATTAAAACCTTTTCAAACTAAGGTCCGGTTTCAGAATCTAAATTAACTCTAGTTAGATACCCAACATCTTTTCTTGGTTGCAGGTTCCTCAACAAGAGTTTGATTGGTCTCATTTGATGTTCTCTGTTGCAGTTTACATCATAATCAATGCTGAAGAAAAAAAAGTAAAGTGATAAAAGTATTTTACATTTAAAATAACATCTTGGGGGCCAGATAAGATGGCAACGAGGGCCAAATGGGGCCCTTGGGCCTCGAGTTTGGCACATGTTTCAGCAGAACCAGGCTCAGGACAAGCGTCCATCTGCTTCGACCGGCTGGGTTTGAGAGGAACAGGAAGGAGGAACAGATACACAATGGCAGGTCAAGAATCAAATGTTAAGATAGAAATAGTATCAAATGAAAACTATTCAATTTTAACAATTCATTTAAGGAAATTAGGTCAATTTGTCCTCCAGTAATCTAAACCTATAGCAGCATAACAAGCCAACCCTAACTATAGGATTTATCAAAAAGGAAAGTTTTAATCCCAGTCTTAAACTGGACAATGTGTCAGCCTCATGGACAGAAACTGGAAGTTGGTTCCACAAGAGAGGAGCCTGAGAACTGAAAGATCTTCCTCCCATTCTGCTCTTGGAAACTCTAGGAACCACAAGTAAACCTGCAGTTTAAGCGCAAAGTGCTGTGTTAGTAAAATATGGAACAATATCTTGAATATACGATGGAGCTAGGTTGTTGAGAGCTTTGTAGGTTAGAAGTACGTTGTAAGATTTTGAATTCAATTCTGGATTTGACAGGGAGCCAGTGGAGAGAAACCAAAACTGGAGAGATATGATCTCCTACTAACTCCAGTTAAGACTCTGGCAGCAGCATTTTGGATCAACTGAAGACGTTTTAAAGAAGTAATGTTGCTGATATATAGATGGAAATTATGTTAATTGTTTTTTTAATTAGCAGAAAACCTTGCTTTCAATCATTAAAAATAATAATTCAATAATTTCAATATTCCCTATCCAGTAGCAAAGTCGTAAAATGTGGGCTTCTATGAAACAGTTAATTAATTAATATCTTACTTGTAGTAGATAGCTCTTTGAATAGCTTCAATTTGAATAAAAGGAGTTTAATCCTGATCCGACTCAGGACCTAACAGCGAACATGAGTGAGGACGAGACCAAAGTGCTGACATCTTAAAACATTTCCCAACTTTTAAAAAATTCCCAGAGTTTCATGCAAACATGATTTTATGAACCTTTTGCGTCAGTTATAATCCCTTTAAGTTCAGATAAGGTTGTGTGTCTTGACTGTTTTCTTCTGCTTCCTGTTTCCCATTCAGGCAGCCAGCGGGCGATATTCCGCCAAGCCATGCGGCACTGGGAGAAGCACACCTGCGTGACCTTTATAGAGAGGACCCAGGAGGAGAGCTACATTGTCTTCACCTACCGTCCGTGCGGGTGAGTCATTGGAGTCTTACGTTCCCACATGAAGGAAGTCAGAGCCAGACTGCTGCGTCTTTGTTATCCACAGCTAATTAGTTGGTGTGTGAATGCTCTGGTGTCCCATCTTTCTGTTTGCACTCTCTGCAGTCAGGAAGGCGTTATTTACCAGTTCTGAAAGTGACGGGCAAGGAATTTCCTGTGTCGTCCTCGAGCTGCCTCATTTATGGAGCTTTGTGTCAAACTGTGTACAGGACTGCACACAAAGAGGGAGACATCCTCACCTTCCTCCTCACCCATTTCTTATTGTTGCTACTAAGCTACCATTGATAATCTGTTCAGTCATGCATAACTTTCGTTATTTCATAGTGTTTGGGTTAAATATGTTTTGTGTTCTCGGGAACGGCAGCCACCTGATGATAGTATTTTTGTGTGTTTGTGGTGGGCACGCGAATCTCACACACATTCAGTTTGCAGGACACTGTTTTGTCAATACACAAACAGATTTGTAACATTCTGCTCAAAGAGCCGAACAAAAAGCAGAGAAAACTCACAAAGCTGAACTTTTACCAGCCGGCAGCCAAGGTCCATTTTTAGCCTCCCTGGTAACTGGCCTTTTGAGCAACAAGGATGACTTTATCCACAGGCAGCAGCGGTTAGCAGTGGGAAACCTTGACTTCGCTGCATATTCAGCAGGCCCCCATCTGTCCTGTGCAAAGTTCAAGGCGTGCCTCAAGAGAGCTGGACTTGGCTTGCAGTAATTAGAGAGCGGCTGTCTGGCCCACAGGGCCATTATGTGTGTGCCCGTCCTGCAGGCTCCCACACTGAAGCTTTCATGTCACGCTGAGGTGGAGCGCCGCAGCGCGCCTGCTTCCAGCATCACTCGCACAATTTGCATTGGCAGACGTATAAATAAATGTCACTGCCGCGTGTGTTAATGATAGCGTCTCGCGCATCTTTTAATAGAAACCAGAGGCTGTTCAGCTTGTCATGGTTTCTTTTTTGTCCTCAGTCAGAAATTTGAAACGTTCCGTTCCACGCCTCATCGTTTCCTCTCATGTCTTGGTGATAATAATTTTATCCCTGAAGCATAAAGTCTGCTCTCTATATTTTGATAAATACCTGTGTTTGAATCCGCATGTCTGATTGCTGACTCACAGATGCTGTTCCTACGTGGGTCGCCGCGGAGGGGGTCCCCAGGCCATATCCATCGGCAAAAACTGTGACAAATTTGGCATTGTGGTGCACGAGCTGGGCCACGTGATTGGCTTCTGGCACGAGCACACGAGACCCGATCGAGACGAGCACGTCAGCATCATCAGGGACAACATTCAGCCAGGTAGGAGCAGACACGACACCTGAGAATTCAAATATTTACCACAACACAGCTGTATGCATGTAGGATGAGTCAGGATCAAGTCGTCGCAACAGATTTCACCTTTGACACAGATAACAGGGTTCACCGCATGACTCGGCTTCATATTTCATTTATACTTGTGCTTTTTTTTTTCTCTCTCTCAGGACAGGAGTATAACTTTTTGAAGATGGAGCCGGGGGAGGTGGACTCTCTGGGAGAAGTCTACGACTTTGATAGCATCATGCATTACGCTAGAAACACATTTTCCAGGTAAGAGCTGAGCAGAGTTCACTGCTCCAACATGAATAATCGTCTCAGTTCGAGACGAACCAAGCTGCTTCGCCTCTTTAACCCATCGCCCCTGTTTTCCATTTTTGCACATAATGTTGAAAGACTGTCTGGAGCTGTACGGCCCCAGCTCTGCGTCCACAGGCGATTGCTGAGTAATCTGGCATGTTTCCCAAATCTGAGGAAAAAGGACAGAAAAGAACTTTCAGTTCTGCCTCACTAATAAAAATCACTAGAAAACTAACATGTTGCTGGAGGTATTCATGTTTTTTTTTATTTTAAACAGCCTGCTGTTACTTGAATTTCTGTCTTTGATCTGAATTTGTTTTTTTTGTTTTTCGCTTAGTGCAAAACTGGCTTATTGAGAAGAGAAGGTGGATCGTAATAAAGAAACTAAAACCAAAACATAATCAGAGAAAACAGTCAGTCCTCACATTAAGTTGGATTTAGGGAAACAAGAGAAGCACTAATCTGATTTGATGTCACATTTTGAGAAGCTTGTGTCGTTCTGTGATTACTGACGGACAAATTTAAACTTGATGCATGAGGTGAGATTTTTAAAGAAGAAGTGCGTCTGGTTCCATTTGACAACTTTCTGTTGGATCCTAATTTTATATTTCTAAGCAGACCTGTGTTGTTTTGCAAGTTTATAATAGTTTTATTAGTGCCTCAACATCGTTTACACTTTTCACTCTCACGTGCTTTAGCAGATCTTTTAAAATGACTCAAATCTGTTTTAAGTTAATACCAATGTGATGTAGCAGCTCACATCATGTTCAAATTAAGGCTCCTCCCCTCGGCTCCTGCTGTTTTTCTAGCGGCCTTGTGTGTCTTTACAGGGAAGGCAGTTTATCTGAGTGAGATCAGCAAAAGAAGTCTCATCATAACAACAGCTTTTTCCACCACTTTCAAGGTTGTAAGAAAGTTCTAGTAAAAGTTCTGCCCTCACACCATAAAGCACCTCATTATGTTCTTGGACGCTCTTAGAAGAGGCTTGATGATGAGTTTAATGACTTCTAAGAACGTTTTATTTTTATTTTTTTTAGAGTGCTTGGGTGTTAGGATGAGTAGGTTTAAATAAAGTTCCACTGTCGACCTAGAAAAATGTATTTACCCCAAAGAGTCATTTACAAAAGACAAAGAGTATCCATCCATCATCTTTACGCTTCTTCCTTTTACGGTCGTGGGAGTCACTGGTGTCCATATCCAGCAGTCACTGTGTGAGAGGCGGGGGACACTGGACAGGTCTCAAGTCCATCACAGGGACACACAGAGACAAACGGCACGAACAACCATTCACTCTTTCACTCACACCTAGAGACAATTTAGAGTTACCAATCAGCCTAACATGCATGTTTTTGGTCTGTGGGAGGAAACTGGAGTACCCTGAGAAAACCCACGCATGCACGGAGAGAACATGCAAACTCCACCCAGAAAGACCCCCGGCAGGGATTCAAACCGGCGATCTGCTTGGTGAGAGGCAGCAGCTCTACCAACTGAGCCACCGTGCTGCCAAGCAAAGAGTAGTGAAAGTTGATTAATGAATAAAGGAGGAAATTGTTTCCACATTTCTAAAGCTCTGCACTCTACATGTCAATAAACCGTTGTCACTGACTCAGCTGGACGTTACAGGAACCCTGCAGGACCAGAAGTGTTGCTCTGTCACAGCTGGAGGGACCCGATAAGACCAAACACCAGTCAGTCCTTCTAATTCCACTCGTTGGATTATTTAACAGCAGGCAAAGTCAGAAATCAATCCCTTGGAATATGAGTGTATTGGCACTAACATTACAGTAGTTCATATAAGGTGAGGTTCTGTGGAAGTATGAACAATTATTAGGTTACCTGTTGTAGATAACTCTTTGAATGACCTGAGGTTGGGGAAATGGTGCACGTCTAAGCATTGCCAAGAACAAAGTGCTGCTGATTTAAATCAGCCCTTATCTCAAAAGATAATCTTTAAACCTTTATAATGTTTAGCAGACTTGATTAAATCTTTGCAGTGGCTCTGTGGAACAAGTTATATATTCAAATAAGATCTGCTCAAACCTCGGACGGTTTAAAAGATTTGTCAAACTCACCCTATTTCCATATTTAATCATATTTAATTCTAGTAGAGTTGACATGATTCTGTTTTGTTTCTGTATATGTATAGGGGTGGCTGTGGCTGAGTGGTTAGAACAGTCGTCCTCCAATACAAGAGCTGGGGGTTCGATTCCACCAGCAGTCACATGCCCAAGTGTCCCTGGGCAAGACACTGAACCCCTAAATGCCTCTGATGTGTGTCCCATCGGTGTATGAATGTGATAAAGCTCTGATTAGTCTTTGTATAGATCTAGGAGAGTGCTGTATGAATGGGTAAATGAGGGCACAGATTGTAGTGTAAA